GTGTAGACTTTATGGAATTATTGACCTTTGACATTAATTGCGGAGGTGAGATATTACGCCTTTTATCTCCAATACCCGCACTTTGATTGATAATATAATCGAAGAGCAGCCTCCTCCAACCCTCGTTTTGTAATGCCTTATTTAACCTAACCTGTTTATTTTGATAGATCATCAATCTTAATGTAAAACTAGGCAATAAAGTTGTAATTTTATAAACGCGAATGTTTGTGTAATGAATTAAGCGGGAGTGAAACTGTCCAAGGTAAGGTAGATATAGTGTTACACCTTGGGCCCCGCCACCATGACTCACCACACAACCCCATTTACATTTTGGGGGCCCCGTCAGCCTTCCTTGTTGGGTTGATGCTTATCGGCTCCAGTACTTTAAGCCATGATTAAATAGGTGACTGTTGTTGTTAAGTAACCCATAGAAGATACTATACAGCATGAGAAAAACAAAAGAAAGCTCCCGTTTGCTAACATCCAAGATGGCGTATACCGACGAATGAAGTGTGACACGTGAGGGCTTACCTGGCCTCACGATATTTAACACCACTAGCAGTAATATGATTAACACGCGTAATTATAAAACATTTAGCATGATTTACAGGCGGCCGAATTACACATGAATAAATTGTTCCTTTTAAGAAAACTTCTCCAGACACATGGCATCTAGACCCTCAGAGAACCTGGAAAGTCTTCTGTAAAGTGATCCTTGGACCAAATCCAACCGGACAATGCCCCACTTGACAAATTCTCATCCTCTCCTCTTGCGATAACTAATATAATTTTATTTATTTATTCAGAAACCAATGCAATACAGAATATAGATTTCAAGATCCGCTACAGATACTTCAGAATTATAACGGTACAAACACATTATTTGGGATGTAATATTTTCTTAGAACCTCTATAAAAGTGTTATCCTTATTCTACAAGTTTGTGGCGCGCATGAGTGTTGAGTGTTACTTGTGCGTCGTTGAGGCAGGACGTGAGTCACTGGATCACGAAGGATCAGTAACTTGAGATCCGGGATCCACTGAAATATTCTTACCCTGCCGCTGACGTCACACACACCTACGCATGAGCCGTCTTAGGTTAGTCTCTCTTATCTCATAATTTGTCTTGTAAAGTAACTGATGAAATTACAAGTGATATCATTAATGAAGTGAACGCTAATAATTGAATAATAATGATAATATAACATAGTTGCAACGTCTTTGTTTTTATAATATATCATTGTGAACATTGCAGTATTTTTGTATGTAACCATATTTTTATTTTTAAGTTGGCCATTTTGTCTTCAAAGGGGTTGAAAGGTTGTAATCTGATTCGTGTTATAAGTCCAAGTGAAGTAGGTAGTTTGTCCGGTCTTGGAGTTTTAAGTATTTGATAACAGGAAAGTGGGCGTCTCATCTCGTCTCGATCAACGATATGCATTGAGAAGTATATTTTAAGCACTTGATAACGCATGATGCGAGTTTACTGTAGCCACTACTTATCTTCCATTGAATTTCTGTAACTTTTCCTGTGGAGTGATTCATAAGATAATGTTAGTTGTACAAATGTTTCCTGAATATAGAAATACAATAATGGGTTTTCATGTTCTTAAGTAACTCGGATATATTGTGACTGTGTTCTTGTCATTCAGTAACTTGGATTTTTTTTTTGTATGCCCTAAATTCGCTCAGAAGTACAAGTTTTCTCTTCTCGTAAGTCATATTTGAAAGAGGACGTAACAGAAAACCAAGTGTAATAACAATAATTTCCACTTGACAGTTTCGTCGAGCGCCATGTTGATGACGTCACGGCGTCCCTGGAGATGCGCGCCTGCGTCACAGGGACCGCCCCTAAACGGCGCGGGGAATCCTGCCACTTCCCCGTCTACCTATCCTTGCAATCCTTCGCTTTTGTGAAACTGTTCTTGTGCCTTTAACGCCAAGGATATGCTTTTTGTAGCCATATAGATATTTCGAAAATACCGAGGTAGTTTCTCCCTCCGTGTTTGTTTTCTATTATTGTTAGCAGTATAAAGCTGGTAAAGTACCCTAAGCCTAGGTTGACGCGAGACATTCGTATGCCACGGGTGCGATGTATTACTTACCGCCCCACCATCGTGCAAGCATGCCAAGTAGCAACGCTGCACACCCTTGCGTAACAACGGGCGTTTGATGTTCGTTCCTTGTTGCCTCTTGGCCTAGGAGTGATTGCGTGTGAGCATTCTCATTAAGGCTTGTCAAGTTGAGGTCATATATTACCTTGTGGCGTGAGTTGGAAGTCATGGTACGTGAGTCTGCGTCATAATGAATGAGACTTGGCACAACTCAGCCTCAGCTTGACGTAAGCATCTTGAGCTTTTCAGTTAAATCACTTTTTGGGGTTAAGTCCCGTTTCGACCTTAGCTGTGTGCAGTGGTTGGTATTGTCACTAGGATCATTGCTCTCCCTGTCATTGTGTATGGATATTGTTCTCTAAAATAGTATACGAATCTCATTGTTAGAAAAGAATTCCCGAGTAACGAAGACAGTTTGTAGCAGTAATGGCGTCTCGGGAGGGGTTGACTGGTGAGAGAGTGATGTTACCGGCGTATAGTGGTGACGCTGCTGGTGTAACGCTACTGAGGGTGGTACACGTGACGATGGGGTGGCCAGGGGTTATGTGTAGTTGGCATCACATTTCGCCCAGGTGTGTGCTAGCTGTCACTCGTAGACCGGTCGAGAGGTTGTGTGGTGACTGTTGCTAGCCTCTTCACCTGGCCCTAATGTACCCACCTCACTACAATACTTGGTACTAGAATTCTTAAATCCTCTTAGGTTCAACTTTCCTCGTAACCAGAGATGAGAAAACATATCTGAATTATTTAGTCTACGACACAGAGGCTTATATGTTAGAAACTTTTCCCTTAACTCGTGATGCGAGGAACTCTTCTCGCTTAAACTTTAGCGCTAGGCGACCAAAATGGCGTCAAGGTGACACTGAGACTGCCATGATTAATATATTTCCTAATTCTAGTGAAGGAGAGAATATAAACGCAAGGGTCTAAATTTTCCGAGCCAGGAGGACTTAAGACTCGTAGCCACAGTTTCTTCAGGTGTGGTGCAGACGTCTGTGTAAGGTGACCCGTGTGGCCAGGGCGATCACTTACGCTATTCGTCAACCAAATAATAGTTTTACTAAATGTTACTACTGGTTTCATGTGTGTGTGTGTGTCCAATTTGGGGACAAAAATGGCTCTCAATGTAATGTACGAACGTTTAAAATCGTAAAGAGAAAATAGAAGGGAAGATGATGTTGAAAAAAAATGAAGGGCTAAGATGAGGTTAGAGGGGAAGTGGAGAGGAGGTTGCGAGGGGGTTCCTCAGGGGTTGTGGACGGCCTATGACCAGCAACCTGTTTACATTTGATGAGTGTGTGTGTCATGGTAGAAACTGGTTGGCCCGGGCTGCCCTGTGGGTTGACTCCCTCCCTGTCTGACTCACACACCACGCCACGTTCACCACTATCTGTGACGGAACAGTTTCAGATTCAGAAACCTCGGTAGGAGTAAAGGTCTTGGGTTTACACTAATATCCACCCGGGGACAGTATCAAGGAGAGGAGTAGAAGGTTTCAAGGTAGTATGTGGGAACTGAGGGAGAGGACAGGTGTTAAGAGAGGTAATTACAGGTGACGACCCCGCTACACACCTGTCACATAACAACACCCACTCACCTGGCCCCACACATCACCACTCTACTACATTACCATTTATTTTGCTTAAGTTAACTCTTCTAACACTTATGCTGGAGTTTTATGAGAAAATAATAAATATCTTCTAAGAGTAACAACATTGTCTCCTCTCTAAAGTGCAGATAGAAACTCTAATTAATGTCACCAGTACGAGTTATTTTAATTATATTTCTTTACTATTATATAATTGATTCTTGATACCAAAAATATGCTATAAAAGGTCTAATATTCAGCCATCATCTGGGACCTGGATATTACTTCTCTATATATACAATAGAAAATAATATATGTGTGTGTTGTGGGTGTGGCCTTGGTGTGTAGGTGTGACTCATGGGGTGTGTGTACGTGTCATGCTACTACTCCGCTGTATGTATAGTGTCCTGTGTGCACATAGCGGTAATACAACCTAATATTCATGTTATTCTGGTGTTGTAGGCCGTGGTGTCCCTCCACCTGTTCTACTTTATCTGTTCTTTCTTGATTCTTTTGTTTTGTCCTTTATTTCCATACGTTTAGTTGCTGGCCAAACCCACTCTTGATGCCTAACCAGTTGCCACAAACAGCACCTGAGGCCTTGATCACATCCTTTGAACTGTGACTTTTCTTCCTCCTCCACCTGCTGCTTCTCCTCGCCGTCGTCATAATCTCCTTGGCTGGCTGGCACTGGTAGAGGCCTCATCTAGAATATCACCAACAGGTTTTTGAGTTAGGCTTCTGATAGCCCACCACCGCACCGTGGCGTTAGGCTTGCTGGCTCCGGCTGTGCTCATGAACGTTGCAGTTCCTCACTTCTTACCTAAAATGTGTAACACCTGACTAATTATTGTACTAGTGTCCTTAACAGCCAGCCTTGCTTATTCAGTTATTATTAACGATGAAGAAATATAATTAGGTAAGGAATATTAGTAATTTCAGATCAACTGCTAAAGTCGGAGCAGTTGTAGTAGTTGGTTGACGATTTGTAGTAGGTTTCGTAATAATTACATTTGAAGAAGGGAACAGCTAAAAAAGTAGTAATTTTGTTATTTATATCAATATAGTGTACTGTACATATTGATAGTGGTATGGACGGTCCAGTAGTGGAAATTTGAGTGGCAGACTACACACCGTGTTAATTTCTCCTTTCAGTAGTTGAATTAAGACTATACAAAGAAACAGTACACTGCATTCTTCTCGTGTATGTTTTTTTTTTGTGTGTCCCTTTCGTTTATCTATTATTTTATATTCTCGTTTCTCCAGTATATCTTATAGAGGCATTTTCTTTCTCTCCAGGAGGCTTCCAGGCGTTCGAGCGAGCGTATCCCGAGCTGTGTGAAGACGCCCTCATGCGCACCAGAGACGAAGTAGAATCCACCAACCCCTGCTACGGTGACCCCTTCAACCCCACCACCCCCTCCGGTGTGTGTATGGGCGGCGGCATCCCTCCCTCCCCAGGCAATGAGGCCACCATAGAACAAGCTCAGGCCTCTGAAGTGCTCCCCTTCCTCTATATCGGCAACGCCAGAGACGCTCAGGACTTAAGAGTTCTGCAGGTCAGCACCCACTAATACTATTTGTTTTAGTTAACTGTTTATATAGTGATTACGGTGTATTGATTGAGAAGGGAAGTACGTGCAGTATATGGATTTAAAATTATGAAGACATGGTAAGCGTTGTATCTTGTCTAAATTAATTTCTCGTCGGCAGAATATTGTGGTACACACAATAGTCGTACACCGTTATCAGTAGTTTAGCTTCCTGTAGTCCAGAGACAACATGATTATGATAACGTTAGTAAATATTTGCATAACACTGGGCCGAAATTTATGCTGGTTGTCACTCCAGGCGTTGGGTATCACCCGGGTGTTGAACGTGACGTCACATGTGCCTGGTTACCACGAAAACTCTGGCATCTGCTACAAGACGCTGCCAGCCATGGACTCCGGCCACCAAAACCTTCGTCAGTACTTCGATGAAGCAATACACTTTATCGGTAAGTAAAGCTTCCCTACATGCTGGTTAATATTTATTTAAAGATAAGGAAGACATTATCCATGGCGTTTTCCATCAACGACTTAACCCAAACATAACAAATATACGTTGATGAGTACAGTATTATACACAGGTGACCATTTATGTAAGTCACACAGCCCAACTTCATACACATGCCAGAGACCAGAGTGGATTTTTCCCCGTGTGAACAAACTAAATTCAATGGATATAATTCGTTATTGAGATGTGTTGTTGTCTCGTGGGAGGGGCGACACAACGTGCCACACCGCCACCTAACCTAACTAGTGACAGTAATCCTGCTAATGAAATAATTCCCCATTTGAGAGCGAGTAGAGGGGCGGCGACTTTGAGAGGGAGAAGGAAAAGAGATACACACACACACACACACGGAGGAAAAGGGAGGACAGAGGGGGGAAAGAGAGAGAGAGACTTTGGGAGGGAGAGAAGGATGGAGGCACAGGGGATAAGAAGAAAGGGAGGGACAGACAGACAGAGGAGGGGGGGAATCATAGCGGTGAAGTAATGGGATGAGTCACTAGGCTGGGTAATGAATATTTGAGGGCTGTGTTTAGAGTGTTTTCATCCGGAAAGTGGGAATACAAGAATTACATTTCTATTAACAGTCGAGTCTTGATGCAATTTCGACGCTAATTTAGTTCGTCTTTGTGTTACCCTAAGTGAGTTGTTGAATTCTAAATCGCCAGTAGTTAGTTAGGTAGGTAGGTAGTTAGGTGAGGGAGTGGTGAGTCAGGACGTGGGGGGGGGTATACTGTACGGTGAGTCATCTGAGAGTGTGATGGTACGGTAAGACATCAGCGTCAATAGGCTCCTCCTGCTCTCCCTCCTGTTGTTGTTTCATCCCCTCTTGTCCCCTTCACCCTTTCTCTTTTTTTCCCTTTTCTCCTCTTCTCCCCCCTTACTCTCTCCCCCCTTACTCTCTCTTCTCCCCTCTCTCTCTCACTCCCCCTTACTCTCTCTCCCCCCCTTACTCTCTTCTCCCCCCTCTCTCTCCCCTTACTCTCTTCTCCCCCCTCTCTTCTCCCCCCTTCCTCTCCTCTCCTGCACTTTCTTTGCCGTCCTCACATATTCTTTATCATCATTAACACAATGGACGATACAGGTTTTTAGTGTTCATTCATTTAAATGTCCTTCACAAGGCTAGGGAAACCGCGTTAAGCACCCAGAGATTAGCAAGTATCCCCTCCCCCCAGCCAGTTGCCCACGGGGTACAACGGATATGAACCTGTCGGAGGAAAACCGGTTGGGTGAGTCCCTTTAGCGTAACACCCTGGGGGTATCCCTCCCTCCGTCCCCTGGGGCCGGGTTAAACCTTCTTTCTTTACCTGAGTCACTAAGCCTTTCCAGTTTCTTACCCTGGTTCCTCATTCATAAAGGTTCGTACGGTGAATATTCCTCGTATTGAAGACGTGAGAATATTCCTAACTAGTTGACTTGGTCTGGAGCGCAACTCTAACCTTCAAAAATAGGATCACAGTTATAGTGAGAGACTCCTTAATAAGATACGTTCACTGACCTCGTGTTGAGAAACAAAATTAAGGTAGAGAATCCGTGTGAATCAAGAATCTGGTTTGTAAACTTGTCGCGGTAATATTTCACTCTGTAATCCCATTTTTTTTTCTGTAGTATAAAAATATGTCAGGCTCTGCAGCTGTTAACTTAATTTACACAGCTAAGTCCGCAAAAAGTCGTACTAATACAAAACCCGCACTGTGTCCTGTTTTAACTAAATTATAATTAAAAGGTAAATAATAGTAATCGAAATAATAAGACTGGCTTATCATTAAGTGACTTGTTGAATAAGTTATACACGTTCAAATTCCGTAATAAAGTTCAGGAAATTAAAGGTGTATTAATATTCACGTTTAATTATATTGTTTCGTAAATAACAAGAATAAATATACGACGAAGCTTAAATAGGTATGAGATTTGGTGCGCTGGGCGAGATGTAAACATAGGAGTGTGAGCAGTGACGGTAATGGCCGCATTGTTTGTGCACACTAGCCCACCGTGTTATTACCCAGCACAAGTGGCTCCAGGACCGCAGGGGCGCCCACACACACCACGCCACTTGCTCGAGGGCACTTGCCAAGAGAAGAGGACGAGGAGGAGCACTTGCCACGAGAGGAGTAGGAGCAGCACTTCCCTCGAGCCGCCACTCCACTATGCTAAGTTGGATCCTGTTCTCTTTCCCTTGCACAGCTCAGTAAAAGAGAACCAAAACAGGATTTTGTCCTCTGTACGTCAAGTAGCTTTACCAGAGGTCAGACTCAAAGATTCTTATGTTAAATTTCGCCCTTAACTGGAAATATGCGCGGAACTTATCCGACGGGCATCTAGGCATTTGGATACGAAGATAACCAGTTGAGATTTTTTTTAATCCGGACCAAAATGTTGATATACACAAGATTGGGTGGATTCTAAATTACGTGAATAATTAAAAAAAATACAATGCCGTAATGGAAGTTAGGCTTAATAACCATACCCACGCCTCCGTCCCTATCGACCTCTCCCCCAAAGGATCACTGACGCGAAGAAGTTTATTAATTTACAAGTGGGTGAGTTTATTAATTCACTAGTGGGAGTGAGTTCCCTCATTGGGTCCTCAGAGGTGCAGGTGACGTCATGGTAAACAATCTTCGCCGATGCAATGTTGTGGTGATTTCATTTCTTGCCTCTTTTGCACTTTCATTATTGCTTGTTAGTAATTAGTTCACATTTATGGCATCCTCCCCAATACGATTTTAGCTGCAAATATTTCTCGTATAATTATGGCAACGTGATTAAATATTAAAAGAATGTCTTTAAAAAGTCTTCGTGGCGAACTTGACGGCACGGGGGGGCGGTGACGTCATCTCCGACCAATGGCGCCGCCAGCTGACGCCTCCCTATCGGAGATTAGCCTCATTAAAACGCTAAATAGCACCTAATTTGTCACAAGAAATTGGCGTTTTATTAAATGAGAGGCCGAAGGGGTGGTGATGGTGGGTGGCGGTGAGACGAGTGGGTTAATTTAGTGCCAGTGGGAAATCTTGTTGGGGAAAGATTCTTTAACATTCACACGCTAACTTTCCACCTCTAACAGGAGGTCTGGAAACACCTCAGACTGGCTCAGTTGAACATAAAGCATAAACTTGACTGACTAAATGGCTTCGACATGCTTAATGAGACCCAATAGTAACAAGGTATCTTCTTATCCCCGTTAAGGTCTGAAAATGACATTCAGGTCTGTACAACCTTTTGAGAATTGTATTTTGTGTCAACTCAAGTGAGACAGGTAGATGCAGTCATCCGTCTTCAGTTTAGGGGAAATATTCGGTGTACTGATCCAATAATCTAGATAGAGTCTTAGAGGAAGGATGACATGTTTGGTTGAGGGTCGAGCGAGTCAACAAATCTGTCGTGGCCAGACGCGGGCGACCCATTAGGGAGACACGTCATGAGTCATCACCCCTCCCCTCCCCTTACCCAAGTGAGGAGGAGAAAGGGAGCAACGCCCCCTTGCTCTTACCCTAGTGGGGGGTTAGGAGGGAGGAAGCCACGCCCCCTACTACCATACATTTACCTCCAGGGAAGGGGGAGGGGGGAGACTTTGTGTTTCTTCTTCCGTTTGTCTAATCCTCCCTCCTTCCCTCTTCCATTCTTTATTCATTGCCACACGTTCACCCAAATCATCCATTCTGTAGTCATTCAATTCACACTTGAATTATGTCAGCACGCTTTACTTTTTTGTGTTCCTTATTGCTCTTTCTCGTGTGTTCATGTAAACTTCAGTACTCTCTGCCGTGAGTATCCTCAACTCTCCCTCCATTATTAAGTGACCCGCGTTGGCACAGCGTCAACACGTCAACGCCCCCCCCCCTCAGTATAAGCAACTCACCCTCGTACCCGTACAGTGTACACGCGGCCCCCACCAACCAACTTTCCCCCCTTATCTTCTATGACTCACACCCCGACAACAATAGCCTAGGATATTGATATTGACATGAAGTATTGACAGTCGTCCCACCCCTTGGTCCATACTATAGGCCCACCCCTTGGTCCATACTATAGGCCCACCCCTTGGTCCACACTATAGGCCCACCCCTTGGTCCATACTATAGGCCCACCCCTTGGTCCATACTATAGGCCCACCCCTTGGTCCATACTATAGACCCACCCCTTGGTCCATACTATAGACCCACCCCTTGGTCCAGCCCTTGCCCATACTCGACAGAAACTTCACTTATAAGAGAAAATGTAGAGACCACAACCGTCAGTATACATTAGTCATTATTATTATTATTTAAGAACTTTAAGAGAACGTCATTGCAGGCAGAAGGCAAGCGAACGTTGGTCTGGCGTATTACTTCCGTAAGCGTGTCATCGAGTTGGAGGGGAACGCCAGGCGCTGTTGACTGTTTGTGCTGGCGTTGTGTTTATGGGGCGTACCAGTGACTCATAGCAGAGGGTGGGAGTAATGAAGTGTAGTGCGTCCACGCATGAATATTTGCTTCTCGTCAAATGTTATTAGTAGAAGTAGTCTAATAATGGTACTGTATTAATTGTTGTACAAGACTTGTTTTACAGTATTGTTATTATTGACCAACAGAATCATTGTATATACGAGGCTTCAAATTAACCTGGAATATACTATACTGTATACAAAAGTGGAGTCATTCTGGGATTGCTTATAATACATGAATGCGTCTGTAATGAAAGTGATAATTTTAAAAGCTCTTTAAAATAAAAAGCTAGAAAGTACACTATAAAAAAAATTATGGGACGTACAACAAACCGTACTACGTACATTCCATTAATGAATGACCATTTGTGTATTAAGCTTTTTTCTTTTCTCGTGGGACAATAGGGCTTACATTAAGGTGGTGGTGGGCAGGTGGTAGTATCTCCCTCTTTTCGCTCTCTCCTCTCACATAGGAAAAGAATATGCCTGGACAGAAAGCTCTCTTCTTTAAGAGGAGC